ATATTTCACTGAAAATTAGTTGATGATTAAATTTAACGGTTAGTGCGGCAAGTTGTTGGACAGGAAACTATAAGTATAATAGATTACTTATATTTATTTTGCATGCTATAGATTTGAGTGGGAAAATATCTATTTAGGCTCTGTTAATTCTATGGAAACTGGGAATAGGTCATAATTACAAATAAAGCCCTGTGTGATCAAATTATGGATTCTGAATTGGCTTACTTAAGCATGTTTGTTAATCTGTTCTAACATGTTTAGTTTGGAACTGTTGGTATTGACATTTATATGGTCATTATTTTATCAACTGTGAATGTAAGGAAGCATGTTGATTATCTATTTCAATATGCATAGTAAGGAGTAGTTGACATTGATATTTATATTTTCAATGTGAATCAATTATTGGTATTTTTAAGAATGGTTGCTAATGCATTCTATTATGTTTAGTATGGAATTGTTAATATTGTTGTTATTATTATCGATGCTTTATCAACTATTGGACGGATTGGATTGTATGTACCGGTATGGAACGGGGACATACTAGGTTTGGATTAGCTCAAATTGCTAAGTCCTACCTATTTTGGAGTAAGGGCACGGGTTATAAAATACAATCCTCCTTATATATATAAGTCGGTACGGTTGAATACGCCGAGTGACTTACTGGATTTCTTGTGGATGGATAGAAACGGAGTTTAGATATATTTTTATGTTACCGTGTCATGAGCTTGAGTCTCAGTGTCGACGGTTAGGGTGCGTATATGCAGTTGGATGTGTAGCTGACTGTGAAGGTTGAGGTATACCCTGTTTAGGTTTAGGTACTCATACCCACTCAGGTGCGTATTGTGTGATGCCTTCTATCTAGGTTGAGACCCCCTTCATGGCCTAGCGAGAGTCCAGTAGTGTGGATATATTTATGTACGGATTATTAGTTATTGTTGAACTATTTAGTATGTACATGCGTATCGAGTCTCTGCTTGGATTGTAGTAGGATAGAACTTGTTCGTGGGCCTGACCCACTCCTATTTTTCAGGTGTACGTCAGTTCCAGGCTTGAGCTTGTTCGTGCTGTGCAGAGACGATCTTCCATTCTACCGACGATGTAGGATTTCTTTCCAGATCTTGGATTTGGGTTTTATCTTTCATTTTACTTTCATTTAGTGTGAGATTTTTATTAGGAGTCCACTAGAGATGGATTCCCGAGTTGTTCAAATTATGGATATTTGGTTTATCAAATTTAAGTATTTAATTATTTAAGGATTATCTTTTAGTTTCTTTTCAGCTTTAAACTTTCATTTCTTAATTCATTTTGTATTCCGTGTTCGTTATAAAATATTAATTGTTTGATATTCCCTCGGGTTTGGGCCTGGGCCTGATCAACCCGTGTCTCGGATCCGAGGGGTATCACAGTTGGTATCAGAGCACTGCAGGTTCAAGTGTCTCTAGGATGTTTTCATATTAAGTCTTCCGCGTAGCGTTCTCTTGAATAGAGCTTAAGTTAGGATTCATTGTATTCCTTATGGTTCGTATAGAAATGGTACTGATGTCTGTCTTTTTGTGTTAACAGATGGTTAACGCTAGAAATGGACAGAACATGCAAGGAACTAGGAAGGAAAGGAGAGCGGCACGTAGGCAACAATATCTCCTACAGCGTCAGCAAATGGAGGAAGAGCAACAACAGCTTGGGTTTCGAGATGACATGGATCAGTTTCGGGAGGAACAGGAGAATGTCCAACAGACTCTGGACCAGGTCAGAGATCCAGAGATTCCTCCTCACCTCAATGACCTCGTTGCTCGGGCTATAGAGGCTGGGGTAACAGCTGCACTCCGGAACCAATCACAGGTTCAGCAGGCACCTGTACCAGCACCAGTGGTTCAGACGGATTCTTGGGGAAAGGGAGGATTTGGTTTCTACAACACATTGTTGTTTGATTGGGGCATTCACGTGCATCTTTTCCTTTTCTCTAGCATTAAGTGTTTCAGCTATTTGCCCTACTTGGGTTTCTAGCTTGGCAATTGACTGAGAATGAGAATGCAACAATTGAGTATTTGCTTCTAGAGTGCCCAAAGCATTTAAAACCTTTTCCTCAAAAGCAGAACCTCTAGAATTTCCTTGAGAATATAATTGGTTAGGAAAATGAGAATTAGCAAATTGATTTCCTTGTGAGTTATATGGTCTTAAACCTTGGGATCCTTGGTTTTGAAGTGGAGGTGGAATGTATTTCCCTTGAAAACCGCCTTGGGAAGAGTTTGAGCCCTCCCCTTGGTTTTTCCAAGAAAAATTAGGATGATTCCTCCAACCGGGATTGTAATGATTACCATAAGGATTGTTCCCTTGGTGCACAAATGTTACATTAACTTGCTCAATGGGTTCATTTTGAATTTGTCCATGAGGACAATTAGAAGTAGAATGAAGAACACTAGAACAAGTCATACATGATTCATTTTGAGCTCTAGGAGAATGATTAGGAAAGGAAGACACTTGATTCGCCGAGTTTTGATTGATCAATTGATCAAATTTTTGAGATAAAGACTTCATCTCGGCGGTTATATCATTTGAGTGGTCAACTTGATGTAAGCCAACACTCTTCCTACCTTGAGAATTTCTACCATTCCTAGATGACAATGTTCTATGCAAAGAGTTTTCACTCATGCTCTCATAAAGACGCCACACGTCTTCCTCTTGCCGGTCTATATAAGAACCTCCCATTGAAGCATCAACCATGCCTTTATAATTGTCCGATAAGCTTTCAAAGAAGAATTGGACCAATTGCCATTTAGGCATGTCATGGTGAGGACACTTCCTAAGCAATTCATTGAAGCGTTCCCATGCCTCGTGGAAAGTTTCTCCCTCCCCATGTGTGAATTCCCTAATGGCGGTTCTCATAGCATTGGTCTTTGAAACTGGATAGTACTTTTTCAAAAATTCTTATTGCATTTCTGCCCAAGAAGTTATAGAAAAAGGCCTAAGGTTGTTGAACCAATACTTCGCCTTATCTTTAAGGCTGAATGGAAAAAGTTTCAGCCTTAAAACTTCTTCCGGCATGTCCGTGTATCGAACAGTAGAACAAACTTCAAGAAACTCATCCAAATGCTTGTAAGGTTCTTCACTAGGAAGTCCATGAAAGTTAGGTAGCATTTGGATAGTTTGTGCTTTAATCTCATAATGGTGTGTTCTAAATGGTGGCAATTGAATGCATGTGGGTGCATTATACTCATTAGGCACATAGTGATCTCTCAATGCGAGTGGTGGATTAGCAACTTGAGGTGCAACATGGACACCTTGGTTATATTGAGCTTGATTAATGATGGGGGGTTGTGGTGCATACATTGGCCTTGGAATTCCCATTGGAATTTGGCCTTGTTGTTAAGGAGGTTGATGAATGTATGGCCTAGGCATGCCTAATGGAACTTGCATATTATCATTTTGCACATTAGGGTGAAGGATGCCTTGTTGGTCTATGTGACCAAGGTCTTCAACATGATCATCATTGAGAGCATCCATTGGTAGATTGGTTCTATGTGAACTTCCTCTTCCCCTTGGATTCCTAATAGTGGATTCTAAATGCAAATCAAGAGGGACAAGAGTAGGTCTCAATGAACGACGACCATGCATGCACAATGCAACACGAATAAACAACTTTCTCAACAATGCAATTAAACTTTACAACCACAATTTTCAAATGCAATGTATGTCAAATAAATGCCTCCACGTGGGCCCCCGATTTAACTAAGGAGGTTGAGTAAGAAGGTCTCACAATAGTCCTTTAGCACTTCAACTCCAAATTTAAAAGCTTAGCTTAGCAAAAAAAATTTTTTTAGCAACTCTTCATTTTAAGCATTTTTCCTTTGCTTTGCTTTGCTCCTTAGCTTGGAAGTTCTTTGCTAGCTCCTTGCTCAATGCACCTTGTTAATGAAGAACAAACTTAATAAGTAATAAAAAATAGAAAATAAAAAGAAAGTAAAGACACGATCAAAAGAGTACTAATCCTAATTGAATTTCACAATTCGACGTTGCCAATTTAAAATCCCCGGCAACGGCGCCAAAAACTGACCGGTCCTTTACAAGGGTCGCGATACCAAGTCAAGCTTGAAGAGTTGTGTATGTTTAGGAGGTGGTCAAGTTTTATATTTATAAAAAGCCACTACTACCTTTCTCTATATAAAATATAGATAGGGCGAGTAGGGATCGTCCCAAGGGATTTGATGGTGTATCGAATTGTGAAACTATGGTAATTAGGGTTAGTAGGTCAAGTGATCACATAATTGGTTGGTTGGTTGATTAAGCTAAATTGAATTCAACTAAATAAAATAATATGAGGTAAACAAGAGAGAGAGGTCTTGGGGTGTAGAGATCACCACCAAGCAATACTTTTCTATACTACTAACAAGTGATCAATTGAGGGTAATGGATGTGTTACAATATGATAAGGGTGTGTGTGCATTAGGTTGATTCAATTAGCAAGGATGACAAATCAAGCAAGTATTGTCTAAACATCATGTGAAGAGCACAATATATCTAAGCAATAGAGCATATATTGTCTAGACAACATGGGGATAGCACAATAGATCAAAATAAGTCATTAATCCTTCATTAAGCTCACAATCCATATGCAACACAATATTAGAGGAATATGCCATTTGGACTCACAAGCATGGAACATCAAACATCAAGAGTAGATTGTCCTCCCATCTAATATTATACTACCACTATACTAAATCTACACTACTAGCATGAAAATAAAGCTATCTAGACTAGGGGAGAGGCACAAACCATCAAGAATAGGCATAAACCATCAAATGAACCAAAATAGCATTCATTAAGCATATCATCTTGATAATCTCTAGATCTATAGCATCAATACACATAGACATGCATCAAAAACACTAAATCTAGAGATAAGCACATGAATATCCTACTCTAGCATACATAGACATATGGGTAGAATAGAATAGTCAATTGGAAGCATTAAACCATACAAACCATGAAATAATCAAGATTTATATATACATGAATATCAAGATGTATCATACAACACTAATCCCTCAATAATACACAAGATTAGAGTATAGAAAGCATGCTTGGGGCTAACTTTAGCCCCAAGAAGATGTCTAGCCACTCAAGGTAGTGATGATCTAACCCTCAAGAGCTAACTCCATGGCTGCTCCTTGTAGATGAAGATCTCCTCCAATGGTTGCTCTATCTTCCTCCCTTCTTCCTCTCCAAGAATAGCCTCCAAGATGATTTTCAATGTGTGACAAGAGACTCTAGATTCCTCACCAAAAAGTGTATCATATTCCTTATATAGGTAGGTCAAATACACCCTATGATGAGCTGTGGTCGTGCAAGGCATATTCTCCAATGATTGGGTGAAGGATGGAATAAATGAGCTGGACTTTAACTTTTTCTCGCTGGAGGAAGTTCGATCGATCGAACCTTAACTTGGATCGATCGAAGATGGGTTCGATCGATCGAACTGCATCTTGGATCGATCGAAGTGGTCTGACTCCTCCGGATAAGGACAAGGCTGAGATATTTCGAAGATATTTTTGGGGAAAAGGACAAAAGTGGTTGGTAGGCGTACAGCTGTGGATAAGATCAATCATTTGAATAGGACAAAATAGGGTTCGATCGATCGAAGGTGATGTTGGATCGATCGAACTTGGAATTTCAGCAAAGGCCAATGTTGGATCTATCGAGAAGTACTGTGATCGATCATAGATGTTCGATCGATCGAACTCTAAGTTGGATCGATCGAACTTTTCAGCTGCACAACTTTGATTCCTTTTTGCTCATTTCTTTCTCCACTTTGCTCCCTCCTTTGGCTTATCTCAGGATTGCTTCAATTAAGCTCTTATTTGGCTGAGTTAGCTCAATTTTGGGATTAGTGCCTGAAAATATAAATAACATGTAATAAGTCTAAAACGGCAAAGTAAGATAGATAAAGGTACTAGAATGCTTAAGCTTAACGGGTTTAAATGCGCACTTTTCAGTGCTCATCAGAAGGAGATAAGACTGAGGTATCCTTAGATCGCCACTTGAGAGTCATATCAGTATCCAGTATACGAACCACCCCTTCGTCCTAGCCTTCCGCTTCCAAGACCGGTGAGAAGAAGGGATAAATGCCACCGAAGGGAGGGGAGAAAGAACAGAAGATCTGGGCACCACTAAAGAGAACGCCATTGGACAGAGATCCTCTTTGGGGTGCTTCGTTGAAAAACCAAGCATTTCATTGTTGAAAGCAGGAACTGTAGTGGAAAAAGAACGTGAAACGACTGGCGGATTTAAGGAATCCGACTGGGCCAAACCAATAGCATCCAAATTCGGGTCCAAAGAAACTGGGCTTTTCCAGATAGCCTTTAAGATAGACAAAGCATGAGAAGGACAAGGCCCAAGTCCAAGCTTGTGGGCCATCGGCCTCAGAAGGTAAATAAGCCCTTGTTTGATCCAAAGGAAATGATAAGGGGTAATCGGCATGGAATCCACCAGCCCCCTATAAAGAACTGACACGTGTAGGATAAGAGAAGGGGACAACAGTGGACGTTGAACCCTGAACCTGATTGATAGTGGCACCAAAATTAAGAGATGATGAAGAGTCACCGGTACCACTACAGGCCGTTCCAAAATAACCGCCGAGAATCTGAACAAGAGGGCGAACCAACGGAGCATCCCAAGACTTCGATGAACTATTGGATGCCGAACCTTTAGGACCTTTCCTCAATCGACCCGTAGTACCGGAAGCCTTCAACCACGAACCAAATTGGCGATCATCAATTAGATTAGCTAACGGCGATGGGCAAGAGCGTAAATTATGGCCAACCCGACCACAATTAAAACACAGGAAAGGAAGACGCTCATACCAGAATTTCGTCCAGTGGCTCTGGCCACCATGAACAAATTTAACCCTTCGCCGGAATGGCTTGGAAAGATCAATACCAACTCTGAGCCGAAGATACCTCCCCCCATTAAGACCCAGATCACAGACTTCAACCATCTCACAAAGGGGGAAAGAAGAGGCAAGATCGCTAGCAAACTCCGCCGTAGTAAGATGCACTGGAACATTCGTAACATGAACCCAAAAAGGAGCAAGCACAAAAGATTCCTTACAAAATTCAAATTCCAGAGACCACGGTTGGACGGAGATGAGATCCCCATCGAAACACCATAGCCGATTGCGCATAATTCGATCTCTAACCTCCTCAGTAGGAAGAATAAAATGGAACTTGCCCAAAAGCAAGAAAATCAAACAACCAAGACTGCTGGAGAAGCCAAAAGCCCCGTTATAGAAACCCACTCAATCACCGAAACGGAGATATTGCAGGAGAAAACCCTCTAGCGCAGCCAAGGGTAGTACACTAAGGTTCCCACCACAAGTATATGCATAATTCAAATGAGGATATGCCACTTTTTAATGTTTCGAAGTGAATGACAATATTGTACAAACAATCAATAATTTAATAAAAATATTTTTTTTATCTACTTTTGATGATGATAGAGTTTGAAAATAGTCTAGAATGTCTAAGATCTTTTACGGAAAGAATTTTTCTGTATCACGTGTCTAAATGACCCCATGTTTTAAGAAGAAATGGTTAAATAATTATTTAGGTTACATAATTCATTAGATTTTTTTATATTTTATACTAACTCATAGTAAAATATCTTCTTAAACGTAGGGAAAAATATCCTTTAAGACAGAACTTTTTAGAATATGTAAAATTTTCATAGTAAAATATTCTCTTAATCGGAAGTAGGGAAAAAAAATTACCCACTGAGAATTTTTTTAGAACATGTAAAATTATTATTTAATTTGTAGAAAATTGTAAGCTTTCCCAACAGAAAAAGATGTACTAATGATTTTATAAGAATGCAAAATGCATGAGAAATCATTGTATATGAAGGCATAATACACATGTACAACTCAACCGAATGAAAATTTCACAGTCTTTAAAAGTTTATTTTCTTTAAGTTTAATCGGCTCACAGAAAAAGAAAATAATAATAAGCAAAAAAGACCCTTCTATATTCAAAATATATAAGAAACAACTTCTTGTTTTAAGAAGTGTATAAATATCCCTGTATTTTGAAAGTTTGTTGATAATCACCCAAAAGAAAGTAACTACCATTCTTCTCCTAATTAAAGAAGTTCAGTACAATCTTAGTGTATTATCTTGGGTGCGCCGAGTGCACCATGCACTGGGCTAATCCAAGCCGTACATTTTCCCAATTCTGAGATTCGGGTGAAAAGTTATGCCCAAAATACTAAAATGGGTCTAGAATTTCTTAGTCAAGTTGTTTCCTTATTAGAATAGGAAACCTTCTTTTCTTTATATAATGACCCATTACAAGTTTGGCTTATTGGAAGCTCCTTTAAAAGTCTTCTAAAATTATCCTTTAATGATCTTAGCCATTAGGTCACCTTGAATACTCTAGCTCTCGTGGTCTCCATCCGTTGATTGAACTTACAGACCTAAAAGCAACGAAATTGACTGAATTTTTGGACAATACCTATAAATGGCAAAAATTAATAAAATAACATAAGTAATATGAAATAAACATTATTAAGGTATTAAAATATGCAAATCTGAGGGCTCGAATGTGTAAAATTCAACGCTTATCAAGATTTTGAGAAGAAAGCTCAATAAATTCAGATAAATTAAATAAAGTGCGATCGAGAATACTTTGGGCATCCTAAATGATGTTTTGAAAGTGACAATCATTTCGGCCTTTCCATGATTTCCAGCAAATAAAATAAGCTAGGCTAAAAGGTGTTTACCATCTGGATGGGGTTGCCACAAATCAAGGAAGATTTGTCATTATTTCACCTATAAGATAAAGCTGGAGTCAAATTGGAGACGAATGGGACTAATGTGCCAGACAATTTGAGAGAAGGGGCACACACACAGTAAATGGAAGATTATTTCAGGTTCAAGACCACATCTAGGACATGTATCATTATGTGCAATGCCTCTAAACTAAATGTTATAGAGAACTGGAACACTTTCATGGGCACATTGCCAGAGAAAGAATTAGATTTTCCTTATGGTTGAAAGTGACTAGAAGTACTTCCATTAGGACTTGAATTCTTGTGCATGGCCGCTTGATGCAAGATCAGGAGAAGGAGATTGTGTTGGAGATTTGTTATGCCGTATGGAGAAAGCAACTTTATAAGCACTTATAATAGAAAATTTTCCATTTGAGGTGGGATTCCAAATAAGTGTGTCAGAACCTCTAGTAATGCGTGATGGGACTTGAAGAATCAAAGCTCTGTCTTTGGGATTAAAAAGATGATTGATGAGGTCCTCTTTCCAACTAAGAGTTACATGATTTATAAGGTCAACTACATTAGTCACTAATGAGTCAACGGGTGGGGCAGAGGTTATGCAGGGATTAGAGGGATCTAAGAGCCACGGGTCTGTCCAGCAGTTGACTTTTGAACCATCAACAATACACCACTGTAAATAACTCAAAAGGATGTGTTTTATAGATTGGATGCCCTTCCAAGCCTATGAAGCAGATGCTTTATAAGGAGAATCCAGGAACGAGCACGAGTTAAAGTATTTGCTCTTATAAATATGAAAGAGAAGAGAATTATTCTCAGTGGTTAGGCGCCAAGCTATTTTGGAGAGTAAGGCTTGGTTGAAGATCTCAAGGTCTTTGAATCCCAGACCTAGCTTCAGCAGCTTTAAGGGCACAGAGCTTGGACCACCAAATCCATTTGACTTGGTTATGTTTTTTCTTTACTACTCCACCAGAAATTCATCATTTTACTATTCAAAGAGGTGCAAGTATCAATGGGAAGCTTGAAACATGACATAGTGTAAGTGGGTAGGGTAGAAAGAACTGACTTTATCAAAACTTCTCTAACTGCTTTAGAAAGGAGGTCACTTTTGGTGAGCCGAGAGCTAATACAGTTTCCTAAGTAACTGAAGGTGCTTATTTTAATTAGACCGACCCATAGAAGCAAGGAGACCAAGATAGTTGTTGTTCCACCCAGTCTCATGGATGCCAAGGATATTGGTACATTAGAGAATGCCGAAGTATTGGGACTAAATTATGCACCGGATTTATCATAATTGATCTTTTGGCTAGTTAGAGCTTCATAATCATAAAGAACACTTCTCAAATTATGATTTTCGGAAGCAAAAGCTTCGCAGAAGAGAATTGCATCATCCACAAAGAAGAGATGGGAAAGGGGGGAAGCTCTCTTGTTATAGATATTCCATAGAGACGGTCTTGATGGGAAGTAAGGTTCAAAAGGGTTGTTAGGCCCTCAATGCAAAGGATGAAAAGGTAAGGGGAAAAAGGACCGCCTTAGCGAAGACCTCTAGATGGAGTTATAAAACTTTCAGATTAACCATTCAAGAGGATTGAATAGGAGATTGAGGATAAACATGACAGAATGATAGAAACACGATGACTTGCAAATCCTAACTTGAGCATGATTTGGGATAGGTAATGCCAGTCAACCCTATCAAAAGCTTTGGCTGTGTCTAGTTTTAAAACAAGGAAGCTATTGCCACCTTTTCTTTTAGATGAAGAATGTAGGATGTGTTGGTTAAATATACAAAATTTGTTGACCAAGTGTTGAGATTTGTCAGTTGTTCACCAAGTGTCCAAAATAATAAAAATAATTTTTAAATTATGAGCACATTCATAGAGTTTTGGACATATGTGCAGGAGTTTCCATAAAGTATCGGTATTTAATATGGATAGGAAGTGCCCGTGCTTCTTAACTATAAAGTGTGCCACGTGGACAACATTTCAATTCTTAGTGATGATGCAAGATTCTGTTACGACCTAGAACGACGTCGTAACGTGCAGGAGAAGAGAAAAAGTATCGAAAAGGCACTGGTGCAGTACCGGCCTAAGAGTCTCCGACGGTCAAGTTAGTACAAGACTAGGAAGATGAATGGACTTTGTTCGGGATATATTTGTCGTACTTTTTGAATTAGCTTACTACCTTTTTTATAAGATAGGTTATAGTATTTGATAAGGGAATTAATTTCCTTATTCTAGTTCAATACGGATCTGAAGAACTCATCCTTATCCACATCGCCTCATCGATTGTATCTTATCTGACTTCTTGGCTTCCATGTCTGCTAGAATTCGTGTATTCGTGTTGGATTGTATAGACCGTATCATCACTTACTAAATATTTTAGCACCTAAATTTTAAGTAATAATTATCACTCACCATAGAAGTCACGACTGCAGACTAGACCCAAAGCGCATTGAATGGACCCGGTTTATTGGGTACCTCACATATGAAGCCCCAAAGTGCATTGATTTAAAAACTTTTTCCAACATAATTCAATAACAATAATTTTTTAATGTATTATAGTATTTTTATTAAAAGAAATTAATACAATTCCAAATAAGTTATTATCTTTCTTTTATCATCTAATAGCTTAAATTTTTTGATCGAATCATGAAACACCCAGCCTATTATAGTTGATATCCAGACCTAGTCTTGAATATAATTACACTTAGTAATTATGTTTTTTGTGAAATTAATTTAAAAATAAATTCAATTATGAAATTGAATGAAACTTGATACCACATATAATATTGATAATCAAAACACAAAAAGTAAAATATATAAATAAATTAAAGAAATATATATTTTTGTCTACATATAAAAAAATTATATATAAATAAATTTATTTACAATTTTCATTATGCTACCCATTAATGAAGAGCTATTTTTGTTTTGTTTTTTTTATTTTTTATTTTTTTATTAATAAAAGCTAGTATTTTCACTAACATACATCAAGCTAGTTTGGTTGGGTGGAAATAGGGACGAAGTCAGTGTGTGCCGAAGGGAGGCATGTTCCCCGTAGCCTGACCCCACCTACTATTATAATACGGAGTATATATTAAATTATGGTTTTTTTTTCTTCTATATATATATATATATATATATATATATAATCATATAATGCCCCCCTAAAGTTTTAGTTTTTAAAATTATCTTTTTAAGTTTTTATTTTTTATTTTTTCTCTTTTACTCTTTAAATTCATTTAATTTTTTTAAAAAAAGAATTTTTTTTTTTTTTTTTTCGTTTCAAAATTTTCTAATTTTATTTTTCTAATTTTTGTTATCTATTTATCGTTATTATAAATAGAGGCGGAGCCAGTGTGTGCCCAGAGGGGACACATCCCCCTGGCCTGGCCCCGCACTTAAGAATGATGTATACAACATGTAATTTTTTTTTTTTTTTTGTTCTTCTTATTTAAATTATATATATATATTTTTTGCACTGCACCCTCTCTGAATTAAAATTCTGGCTCCGTTGCCTCTAATTATAAGCAGGGACGGAGCCAGAAAAAATTTACAGGCGGTACACTGTAGTATTGTGCACCATAACATATGTTTACAATATAATGTACATGCATATAAATCAATGTTTATAAGTATATGTATATATATAGAAAGAGAAAATGATGTTTTTGGGATGAAATTAATATACAGATATAGAATATTAGGATTAAGAAAACAATTTAGGAGAAAAAATAGGA